TATGAATTATTTACGAATCTTGTTAGTCAGGGAATTTTGGTTAATATTACGCTATGGATGTTCATTGAAATAATATGTTGTTATATTTGTGAACTAATGAGTTCTCATATATCCGTGGGTACCATGGTTGTCACGTTGGCAGGTGTGCCACTGGTTGAACCGGTACCGGTCATAAAACTGGCATGATCGATATACGAATCTCTAAGTAAAATTATCTTATTTTAGTGAATTTAATTGATAAAAAATAATTATTATTTATTTTATGAGTTTAAAAGTTAAATTTTGATTTTATTTGTTGGATTCAAGTACAAATGTTTAGGTATTGATGTTAAATTTTGTGTTTAAATATGAGTATTTGTAAATTATTTGTAATATTGACCGGTATGAACCGGCACAAACCGGTATATACCACCGGTCGAACCATTTCACTTGCTAAACCGACACATTGGCATAAACCGGTTTGACAACCTTGGTGGGTACCTATTGATATGGGTTAGGTTGATATGGGTTAGGTTTGCTAACTCAATGGAAGTTTTATCAATAGGCCACTTACTGAGTTGAGCTTGAATTTAGAGAAACCCAGTTCAACTCGCTCATTATCTTACGAAGGACGTAAGGAGGATTATGTAGTACTTTGTCTCACATAATGCTCCACCAATATTGAAAAATTATTTGCATCCCTTGCTTTTCGCTATATTCAATACAAAAATACTCCCTGGCTTTGTAATCCGACTTTTTGCTCAGCCTGCATAATATAATTTGTACAAGCTAGCTAGTTGGATCTTTTAGTGATGACACTTCCTTCAAATCTAGCTAGAACTCCATACATAGTGGACTAATCTTTAGAACCAAAAACTATATATTCATTAAAAGCTTCTTTTTCGTTTGAAAACTAAAAACTTCTATTTGATTCACAATTATATTTTTTTTGGGGGGGGGGGGGGGGTGGTTGATATGCATAGTTACATCGTTAGTGGTGATATACGTCCTTAATGCAAAATAAGATATGCGTCTCTTTAGGGATATACGGTTAGTGGTTACATCGTCAAACTAATTTGTAATAATTAATTGAGTATGATTAAGTGGTATAGTTATTGATGGGCTGAAATAAATTTCAGTATAACCGTTAAGCGAATAGCCGATTAAATACTTAACCGACAACTAACTGAATATAAATATCTATGTTTCTCTTCACCAAAATGGTCCCGTACCTCCCAAATAAACTCCTAAATTTCATGCAAATAATCTCCTTCCCCGACCCTCTTATTCTTTCCCCAATTTCCTCCCAATGTGAGCACTGAAATTGAAAATTGCAAAGAGCACTACTGATTTTGCCATTGAAATGTAGACATCAAAATTGGAAAGATCTCACTCATCACTCTTCCTTCCTCTCTTCACTTTCTTCTCTCGGTCCCAATAGGAACAACATGTCAATCCCAAATCAATGATAAAAAAGTAGACATAAATATGTAGGAAAAATCTACAAAAATCCACAATTAAAAAAAGAGAGAAGCTTTCTATTGGTTCAGTTATCGGTAAGTTATTTTGGTCTCATCTTTGCCGAATCACTTGCTAAACAGTTAGTCGGTTAACCGACATAATAACTGATAATTAACTATGCGATTATGGTTAACTGATAATTGACTATACTGTTATGGTTAAACAAATTAATGTAAACAGTATAGTTCACTATCCTGATTACCCCCATGAAGTCTCGGTACAACACCAATTAGGATTTAAGTGTTGCTTGATAGCCCCACATGCTGGAGAAGTTATTGGGATTTATGATCCAGACTTGCAAAAACAAAAACACCCATGAAAAGAAATGGTTGAAAAGAAAGACAGAAGAATGAAAAGTAAACTTACACCTTTCCTTATAAACTAGAAAGTTTCTGGTGAGGCTTCCACAGTTCCACCAACTTTGTGAATCTCCGGAAAAAGGTAACCCGAATTCTTACTCCCCTCCTTCATCTAACAATCCATCTCCATTTTCACCAACTTCGCGAATCTCCATAAAAAAAGGAATCACTAATCCTTCCTCATTTTCTTCAACTTCAACTTAATCTCCCTCTCCCTCATCTTCTTCTCCGCCTCCGACCCCATCTAGTTTCAGATATGCCTTCTCTCTACCCCTCCAACATGCTATTCACTTTTCTCTATTCACCCTCCTCTTATGTTCTTTTCTTCACATCTCTACTTCTCAACTTGGTTGGATGGATTGCCCGAGAGGGGATTCGTCGAACGGGTGCGCGGGTAGGGACCTAGTCACTTACGTTGGATGGTACTGGGAGGGTGAAGGAGATTCAATCGACGAGATATGAATTTTTGGAGGAAGAGAAGAGACAGACTCTTGTGTGTTAGGGAGTCAATCGGGAAGGGGTAGTTCTGAAGTTTGACAATCCCGGTAAATTTGGTCAAAAAATTACGAATGAAGCAGGGGAGGAAGGGCGAGAGAAGCAAATGATGCCTTAGAGGAGGCAAGGAGAGTTGAGGAACCACTGCGGTGGGATACGAGGGATCTGTGCAGGAAAGCATAGATGGTAAATGGTAATTGCGCCAGTAGTGGCAGAGAGAGTCATAGACAGCGAAGCGGCTACCGATCGAAGTGAGGGTGGGAGAGAAAGAGGAAAGATGATAAAGGTTGGGAGGACTTGTGATTGGATATGTGTAAGAGAGTGGTATAAGATACATAATAACCTTTTTCCAACAACTCAAGTTATTAAGACCAACTGGTTTATAACATTGTATCAGAGCTGGTTTAACCAAGTGGTCGTGTGTTCGAATCTCCACGACCTCCAATATTAACAGTTGATACAAGCACAAGGTATGGTGGGCTTGTGCAAACTTCAAGTCCGTGGGGGGTATAGGGAGAGTATGGGTTTGGAGATGAGTTTGAAAAATATTCCCCTGCATGGGTATAGGGAGAGTATGTGTTTGGATATTTGAAAGCGGGTATGGAGATGGTTTAGGCAAACCCGCTCAATTGCCATCCTTAGTGATACCCCATTGATGCTCCAAGAATATAGAGAGAAAATATTATATACCTCGATTAGTATATGTCAATGCTTGATTGTTAGAACACTGATGCTGTAGACCATCGATAATGGCTCAAGAGGCTCAAACTTATTCATGTACTATCTTCCCTTCTCTGTTATTCATTGATTAGATGATGACATGAAGCGAAAGCACGAATTAGCTAGTCATGTTTCTATTGCATGTAGCAAAAGCTCGAGTACGATGTCCTTAGTAAAGGGATAGAGTGATGCCACTAATGAGTCATTGATGCATGATATGAATGAATATTGATATGTATGATAGTACTCGAGTATGATTTTCTATTCAATAATGCATCTTTATTTTTGTTAGGGATGATAATCAAACCCATGACCGCGGGTACCCGCCCGCCCCCGACTTAGTCAACGCGGGGAATCTCTGCTTTGACCGGGTATGGGTAAAACCCGCAAAACGTTTGATGGGTATGGGGTGAGTATGAATTTAGCCTCCCCTCCCCATACCCGCCCCATTAGGGTAATTTCTTCAAATATAAAAAATACATTGATTAATTGTAACCTATCTATAATAATGAGGGTAACTCAAGAAAATATTTAGTAGAAATGTAATTGGATGGCTACCCAAATCAAAACTCAATTCTTTTTCCTCAACTCTCCCTTCAGTCTTTCATTGTTTCGATTGTTAACAAGATTATGTTAGTTAGTTATTACTTAGTAGATGTATTAGAGTAAGAGAATAATAATTTGGATGACATTATATTCTATCTTATGGATTAACAGATGTTTTAGAATAAGATGCTTTGAACCGTGTTAAGAATGATTGTCTCTTTGTCGATTTCGTGATATAGTAGGTGCGTTTAGTGTTATAATTGAAAATTTATATATAAAATTTTAGGTGTTATCATGTTGGATGATCGGGCCGGGTATTACCCATGGGTACCCGAAACCCACGGGTATGGGGATGGACCCTCTCCCGCATGTGTATGTGGCGAGTATGGGGTTTGGATATTTGAAAGCTGGGATGGTTTAGCCAAACCCGCCTCATAGCCGTCCCTAATTTTTATGCATCTATATTACTTAAACAACACCTAAACAACTTTTACTTTTCTTCCTTGCTTTACTTCATTGCTTTACTCGAATGAAAACCCCTAAAAGTCTTTCATATTCTTGTTCGAATATGGATGATAACGTGTGAGTAGTTATGAATTAGAATACTTTATGGAATATGACCACGGGACATTTTAGAATTCTACAGCAACCTTAGACGTTGACGCTTGGCAACCTTTGGTAAGAGCAGCAAATAGCATATCTTGTTCAGTTCACAAGTCTAATGTCGCCTTATAGTAGGCAGCAGATAGGGTCAGTAACCAATGGTTACTGACCTGTCAGTATTAAATCCGGACCGTAGATCTAGGGATGGTATTATTATATTGCTGGGCTGCACGCGGAGTGAGGAGGGGCATTTTTGTCCGATTTTTTAAATTTGATTTCTTTCCTTTTTTTATTTTTTTCCAGCATTTATATGTGTTGTCTTTTAATGGAGGAAAGAGAAAAAGCAGACTTCTCTCTTCCTCTCTCTTTTCTCTTTCTCTCTTCCAAAATTCTTTTTCCAGATCTAAATATCTTTTCTTCTCTTGTTCTTCATTTTTTTCTCCAACAATCGATGAAGAAATTGCAGCCTCCCACTTCAAATTCGGTGATGCTCTAAATCCTTCTACTCTCAAGCTGCTCATTCCTTCTGTTTTTTTCTTTTCTCGGCCTCAAAATCGATGATGCTCCATATTGTCAAAGAGGGGACAGATCTAGGTGAGTTGAGTTTGCATCTTTTGTGTTTTAGTATTTGTTTGTGAATTAATTCCGATCTTCTTCCTCTTTTTCGTTCTTTTTGCATTCGGTGTTCTTTATTGCGGAGGAGTAAATGAGAGGAGACAGAAGACGGATTTTTTCCCCTCTTCCTCCTTCTGTTTCCCCTTCTTTGAGAATATATATTGATATTACCACACTATACCATATGATAATGTGTGCTAACTAAGAGTATTTTTATAGTCACGAGTTTTATCATGGTGGTAGTGGGTGGTAATCGACACCAGTTCCGAGAAAGAAGAGTTAGAAGACAATGAAGGGAGAGAAGAAAGTGAAGAAAGTCGTAATTGTATATATATATATATTGAGATTACCACACTATACCATATGGTAATGTGTCCATACCATATGGTAATGTGTCCATACCATATGGTAATGTATGGTAACGAAATGTATTTTTATGAATATCATGTTTTTACTATGGTCGTAGAGGGTTGTAATTAGATTTACATGGTTTTACCTTCTCATACCATGTGGTATTATATGGTAATTATAATTAATTTGTGGCCCTTTGATTTACCATGTTCTACTATGGCGGTATTGTATGCTAGTTAGATTTATAATTTTCTGTAGCGTGGTTTACAAAGTTATACCATGTGGTGGTAGTTTGATTTGTAATTTTATTTTAGCATGTTATACCATATGGTATGGTATGGTAATTAGATTTGTAAATCTCTGTAGCATGTTTTACCACGTTATACCATGTGGTATTGTATGGTAGTTAGATTTTTAATTTTCTTCAACATATTTTACCATATTTTACCATGTTTTACCATGTGCTATTGTATGATAGTTAGAATTCTAATTTTCTTCAACATATTTTACCATGTTTTACCATGATAGTAGAAAATGATAATCATATTTATACTTGTAATTAGTGTCTTTAACAATGTATTATTTAACGAAAAATCATCATTCAATTTGAGCTGGAATTAGTTTAGAGATAGTTAGGATGGTTAGCTTCATTTTTGTTGAGAGAGAAGAAATAATCTATTTTTTTCTTTTAATAATAAAATAAAACAAAGAGTGAGAGAAAGGGAGAACCAGACAACCAGTGTGGGGTGGGGAGTGGGATCCGCGTCGCGTCAGCGTCAGCGCGTCAGAGACATCATTAAATAGGGGGTGCAATTTTACCTTAGTGCCCCTCCGTGTCTTTTTAAAATAAAAAGAAAAAGGAGAAGGGGTTACTGATGTTTACTGATGGAAGGGTTACTGAGGTGATCTGGTCCCCTTATAGTAGCTACGGATGCAATAGCATGGGAGATTTCAAATTTGATGAGACGCACAACCGCAAGCAACCAAAGTATAACATGTGTGTGTTATTTGCGGCCCAATCAGCCTGTTCCTAGGCAGAGGGTAAAGGCTTGATGCCAGTTCTACCCATAGTTAGTAAATATTTCGTTTAATACATGTATATGTACCCGTACGTACTTTATTCGTTTAAAACTTCTGTATCCGTATTATTGTTAAGTCGTTTCATTTTTTCCCGTTCATTTGATGGCTCCCGTACTAAACACATATAAAACCCGTATAACAAGTTTATTATCCGTATTTTACGAATTAAATTGTTAACTTTACTATTATTTATATATTTATTTATTTTTAAAATGATTAATTTTATATATTTATGACTATTAACGTACTATTAAACATAACTTTAGCTTAAAGACAAAATATAATACCCGTACGTATTTTTTAAGTAACTTTCCCGTACCATATTTTACGTTCTATCCACATACGAGAACAATCTCTTGCCCTTAACAAAAGACTCTAAACTGGAATTCCCAAAAGAGGGAAGTTCTTACCATTCAAGCGTGTAGAGAAGAAAAGATCTTTGGTGTTGTCCATAATGAAAATCAAAGAAAAAAACACCAATATAGCTGTGAAACATCTGGGACACTGCGACAGAGAAACATGGACACCAGAAAAAATAAATAAAAAGCTCAAAGTCGGAACACGAGGCACACAAACACAATAGCCAAATGGCAGCACCCAAACCCAAGTGACACTAAGATAGAAAATTCGAAGAACAAACAGAGGAGAAACTTCCAAACGTCACCAAGAACTGAGCTTCAAACGGGTAGAGAGATGATTTTTTTTTATACGAGGAGAAATTCATCTTCCAACGGCAAATCCCGACCCCTATAGATACACAGCAAACCCTGAGAGCATTTAATACGAGTTTACAGCCCTATCGGTGCCCACCAAGGCAGTGATGCAGAAGTGGCTACTGTCAAGGATCGAACCTAAGACCTCCTGAACAGAATCCTGCTCCTTTACCACCTCCACCGACCCTTGATTGTTCAGAGAGATGACTTGGAGAAACCAGAGAAGAAGAACCCAGGCAGAAACACCAACCAAAGGCGAGCAAATAACCCAAAAAACCAATACTGATGAAGCCAAAGAACCAATTTCTAAGAACATCGACAGGCTCTAATATCATGTTAAACAATCATGAATTCAAAAGCATAACCAAAACTGATACGAGATTCAACGTGATTCGGTTTCTGAGAGAGACTTTACTCAACGATGGTTCACTATAGTTTTCATATTTCTTACTCGGCCATTAACCCTTTCATCGTCGGCTGCCAACATATTGCCCTCTAACCACAGAGCACTATGCTAATTGTCCCCAAGTACACATATTTAATTACAATAGTTACGTTAAGTCCTCATATGTACATATTTCAACATAAACTTATATGTGTACATTGCAACTTTTCAACAACACTACAACAGATTGATAGCACAACTGAAAAAAAAAAAAAAAAGGGAAAGCAGCCACATATTCCAGGCGTACAACTAAAGAGGAGACACAGACAGAAAGGTGCAAATTACAGACAACAACTACTATATATGTTAACACGACTTGCATGATATAAACTTTGGTGAAGTAGCAATGCATCGGAGGGCATCGAAGAAGAATAAGTTACGTAGCTGCGGACGCGGCGGCGCTGCTTGGGACGGTGGCGACGTCACATCATGATCACGGTGGCGCAACGGCTTCTTCTTGCACATCACGAAGTTCCTTGCTCTGCTCGTTCCTATTGCTTCCCGCGGATTCAGCGCTGCATGCAATCAGTAACCCGTTGGTCTACATAACTCAAATTGTCAAGAGAGGTGCACTCCCCTCAATCGAAAATTTGAATATGTCCGGACAATATGTGCTCAACTGAACATACAAGAGTCATTGGGATTCAAATAGAAGACTTTTCAGTCACAGAAAGCTCTGATACCATATGTCAAGTGCCAGTTGATTCCAATAACTCGAATTGTTGAAAAATATTAAATTATTCATCATGATACCACATACTGACAGTTTGGAGTTCATCAGCTTATATAACACACTAGAATGGACCCGCGCGCTATGCTGCGGATCCTAAGAGACTGTGAAATTATTGGTTGTTGGCACAATAACAATAAATATGTTTGTTTGAATAACAATAATCATTATAATTTCTTATTTTCTAGTTTTACCATTTCAGCCATACTATTTTAGAAAGACATAGTTAGTAGAAAAATGTGTTTGATACATGAATTGCCGTACTTTGAGATGCATAATCTTTTTCGTTTGTTTGATACTTCACGTTAATGATGACAATTTCGATTTGACCCATTTTACCCAACCTGTTTTGGGCGGGGCGGGCATGGGTAGTGTCCTCAACCTGACCTGTCCTGACCCTCCCCATTTTTTACCAGTTTCTTGCTTAAATCACATGTAATTTTACTCAAATTACTTATTCTTTTACTTTTATTACATAATATTTTAGTTGTATTAAAATTGTAAATATGTGAGAAGCTCAATTTCACAAATAATTTAACAACATTAATCATGTTGTAGTTTTTTTTTGTAGGAGAAATGAACAATTTCAAAATATTGCGTTGAAATTACACTCATATAGGTCGCGATCTGCGCCCCCGTAATAATTACCCAACCTACCACAAAGCATGTATGAATATCGAGATACCCGTACCGGCCTGCCACATTATTCCTACTTCACGTACATATTAAAAATATGTCCGCCCGTGCATTACTACGGAGTACGGGGTTGAGATTAACATCAAAACCAACCATCTGAACTATTAGCATTGTTGCTTTACTCTTTTTTTCGTGGTTGAGTCTCCTTCAAACAATTTAGTTTGATTTTAGAAAATTTTGCTTCTGCAGTCCTGTCTTGCCACCAACGCATTCAGTAGATGGAGATGGCAGAGGCGAAGGCTATTTTTGTGTTGTTGTTGCTGGTTTAGGGATCGGTTTGTGAAGAAGAGGGAGAAGAGAGGGGGAAAGGGAAATGCAGGAGAGGGGGATAACTCTTTTCTCCGACAAAAATGGAGTGAAGAAAGGAATTATGATCAGTAAGGATATGGTTATCTTACCTAACGGTCTCTATTTTGTTTGAATTGAGCTTGGGAGGCAGTGATAAGGACGAGCTGCAACCAATTCATAGTGATAAGAGTGCTATGAACTGTGATCATGTCTTATTTCAAGTTAGAAGGTAGTTTCAGTATAAGGATTATTTAATTTGAAAAGTTGTTTCGTCCATGATTCTTGGTAGTTTCAGTGCCATTCTAGCCATTGTTTAGTCTGTAATTTTTGAGAATTGATGTGCGAGTAATGACTTTCACTTAGCTTCAACTATTATGTGTGTATTTATTGGCATGTGATAGAATTCTCTTTTCCTTTTCTTTGAATTCAGTTTCATACTCTAATTGTATCATTTGTACATAGGCAAATCATGCTCGAGATGACAACTCGCTGATATGGCTGGTGCAAGGAATGAAGCCATCATTAGAATTCAGACCGACAACGGGGAGGGATGCCCAGGACTAATTCAATGATGATTGATGATGGTATAATAAAAACTGCAATCTTCATCAGCACCAATTTCTAGGCCTAAGTAAAGTTATTCAACCCAGAACTCTGCTTAGCGCTAAAAATTGCCCTCACCCAACCTTGATCCTGTTTGACCCACTTCTGAAGAGTCAAGATATATGACTAATCCTCTCCGTTCGTATTTTCTTATTAACTCTTTCTGACCCTTTAGATTGGGGCGGGTCGGGAAGAATCGGATTAGTGGGTCGGTCCTAATCAAGTGGAATCTCAATCCCTTCATTCTCACTTGCTTTCTCTCTCATTCCACAAGTGAAGTGGGTAACATACACTAATCCGGCCAACGGGCCGGGTAATAAGCTAGTATATATTAATGTTGATATAGTGTACTGATAGAACTCTAGGTCAAGCTCTATCGGACAATTGGGGATCGGGGATCAACTAGGGATTGATCCGGGGTTGAGGGGAATTGAGAGAGAGAGATTTAGGGAATTTGGGAAGAGAAGAGGAAGAGAGGAGGCTGCTGCCGTGCGGCAGCTTAAGGGAGGGGAGAGAGAGCTCGGCCGCCAGAGAGGAAGAGAGGAGAGAGAGAGATAGTTTTAGGTTTAATTCTTGCTTACCATTCTCTACGTAAACAATAGCCTAAATACCCTAAACACAATTACCTACTAGCTCCCCCAAATTATTAATCCCCCACAATATTCCCAATACCCAAAATAATCCCGAACTAAATAATTCAAACCGACATAAACCGAAATAATAAAATGTCTATCATTCCCTTCCCCTTCAAAACAACCTTGTCCTCAAGGTTGGTAGCCTTCTCCTGCGTCTTCCCCGTCTCTCGCTTCATCCTCCGCCTCGTCCTCCCACCTTCCTACCAGCATCATCAAGTCCGGGCGTGCACACTTGTGGCCAATCGTGAACCTTTCGTCGCAGTTGAAACACTTCCCTTCCCGCCTCTTCTGCTCGATCTCCGCAGGGGATAGGCGCACAAAGCCCTTGGGCGGAGGTCGTGCCCCACCCTTCACGACCGCTACTGGCGCCTGTGCCGCCGTGGGTCCTCCAGCTCCAACCGCGGTCCCAGCCGCTCCTCCTCCTCCACCGCTGAGTCCGCTACTGCTCCCGGCGCCCCCTGCCCGCGGATTGCGGCCCATGGTGCTCCTCCAACTCGCCAGCTCCTCTTCCTTGTACCCTGCAAGACGAAAAGCAGATTTCACGGAATCCGGCTCAAAGATCCGGACAGCAGCAGCAATCTCCGGCTTTAGGCCCGCCATGCACAGCCCCACCAGTGTCTCCTCCGGAACCCCATGGCACTGATTGCCCAGTTTGAAGAACTCTGCACGGTAGTCCGCAACAGAGCCAGTCTGCTTCAGCTTAGCCAACTGCTCTGGGGCCCACCCCTCCGATTTCCCAAACTGATAGCGCAGCTCCTCCTGGAACAGCGGCCAAGTGATCAGAGTTCCCACCGCCCCATAGGACCTCTCCATCCATTCCCACCACTGCAGCGCTTCTCCCTCTAAGTAGAAGGACGCCAGATGCGCCTTCCTCTCCTCCGGAATGGGGTGGTTTCTGAACCACCTCTCTGCTGCATACAACCACAGCCCTGCATCCTCCTGACCATTGAATTTTGGAAACTCAATGGTCGGGGGTTTGGCTCGAAAGACCATCCCATCAGCTCCATCATAAGCAGGGTGATACGAACCATACCTGTCATAACCGGGAGCACCCCCTGGCTGGTCTGGGTAGAACGGAGTCCCCCTTCCTCTCCCAAAACTGCCTGCGGGCCCTCGCCCCACCGGTCCTGCCCAATTCCCTGCGCCGTGCGATCCGCGCCACATGTTCGGGTCCATGCTGGCCGATCTAACCAGCCCCGGTTCGAACCGGTTCGGTCCACTATCGGTTCGACCCGGTTCGGGTCCGCCACGACCCGACCCACCTCGACCCGACCCGGTCAGCCCCGGGTCGGTCTGACCAGCCGAGCCGCCTCCTCGACCCAGCCCCGGTCCACCCGGCCCAAACCGGCCCTCCTGGCCCGGCCCAAACCTGCCCTCCTGGCCCGGCCCGAACCGGCCCTCATGGCCTGGCCCGAATCGGCCCTCCTGGCCCGGCCGAACCTGCACGATCTGGGCCCCTGTCACGTCCGGGCCCAAATAGTCCCCGCCACCCGCCGGGTCGGCCCATGGTGCGTTCTGGCCCACCAGGCTGAGCTCCTCCTCGATCCGCTCGCGATCCATGGTCAGCCACCCCAGTCCTCTGGGCTCGTGGTACTGGCCCACTGTGTCGCTCCAGCCCATTGGTCTAGGCGGCCCCTGCCCAGTCGGCGGAGGCCCATTGTCGTACCCAGGCATCTTGGCCTTACCCTTGCGGGCCGCCAACTCCTGGGCCGTTGGTGTCGGTAGAAGCCCAGGCCCACCGTTGCGCCCTGGCTGACCCTGGCCCACTCGCTCCCCAGCACCGGGCACCCTCTCCGCCGCGTCAACCACCTCGACAGCCGCCGTTGGGGGCGGCGCCTCCGCCACCACCATCGCCCCCGCTGTCGCGCCACCCGCCGCCGCTACGGTGTTCGCCACCGCGCCTCCATCCGCCGTCGAGCCTCCCAGCCCGCTCCGGCTGTCGCTCCCATCGCCGCCGCCGCCACCCTTTGGCCCAGTGTCTCGCTCTGATACCAAATGCTCCACGACCCTCTGCACCTCCTCAAACCGCTTCCAAACTCGCCGGGACTCCTCCTCCTGTTCCCGCCGCTGTTCGCCTTGCTCCTGCCGGAGCGCCCGCCATTCCTTGCGCTCCTTCTCGAACTCGGCTACCAGGCGATCCAAAGTAGACTGGATCAGCTCCAACCTTTCAGTTTCGTCCACCAGCTCACCGTCCCGCGGATCGGTGGCCCCCTGGTTGCCGCCACCAGCTACCGGCAGCCCGGTCGAGACGGCGGTGGAGGCCTGCTCCGGCGCCGCCGCCTTGGCAGCCTTCTCCGCCGCTGTCATTGATTTTGTGGACACCATTGCACCCTTCTTTCGCTGTTTGTGATCGAACCCAAGAACCGGGCTCTGATACCAAATGATAGAACTCTAGGTCAAGCTCTATCGGACAATTGGGGATCGGGGATCAACTAGGGATTGATCCGGGGTTGAGGGGAATTGAGAGAGAGAGATTTAGGGAATTTGGGAAGAGAAGAGGAAGAGAGGAGGCTGCTGCCGTGCGGCAGCTTAAGGGAGGGGAGAGAGAGCTCGGCCGCCAGAGAGGAAGAGAGGAGAGAGAGAGAGATAGTTTTAGGTTTAATTCTTGCTTACCATTCTCTACGTAAACAATAGCCTAAATACCCTAAACACAATTACCTACTAGCTCCCCCAAATTATTAATCCCCCACAATATTCCCAATACCCAAAATAATCCCGAACTAAATAATTCAAACCGACATAAACCGAAATAATAAAATGTCTATCATGTACGGTGTACCAGTGAAATCGGATTGAGGAGTAGCGGCGGAGTAGAGGATGAAGGCGGCGGCTTGAGAGCCGAGCGCCGGAACCCTGCCTTGCTTGGCGTAGGCCTTGAGAGCGGACCGGATGACGGCGGCGACGGAGTCGTTTTGTTTTACCACCAGTATTACGGGACCCGTGCTACCGGCGACGTTCACCCTCACCAGAAACTCCCTGCTGCTGCTGCTGCTCTCCTTCTTCTTCTTCTTCTTCTCCTTCTCAACAATGGCATCCTTCTCGTTCTCCTTATTACCACCGCAGCCCGCCATCATCTTTTGGGTTCTGAGAAGCAAGTAAAACCATAGTAATATATATATACAGTACAATTTTCTTTCCTTTTTGATATTTTGTCCCCCAAACAACTTTAGTACAGTTTAACATTCATTTGATTAACATTTTATCATTTTTTTTATTTATTTATCTTTATAATGTATGTATGAAGGAATTATTGATTTTATTAACATGCCTGAAACACAAAGGAGTAAACCACTAACTAACCTTGAGATAATTAATATTGTTTATTGAGATCACTAAGTATAGGAAGTATATTTTTAAGCTTTGAGGATGTTTCAGTGGTGGGAAGTGGGATTTTTTTTTTTTACAAGAGATAATCATATAGATTGATAAAAGATAAGAGAACGTTACATCCTGGAATTAAGCTAGGTCTGGAAATCAAAGAAACGACTCGCAGTCGGATACAAAGTGAGGGCCTTCCGAGCCACCAAATGGGCTACCCTATTGTTATTCCGACCTACAAATCTAATCGAAAATCCCGGATAAGAAACAAAATACAGAATGACTTCTTCGAGCACCGCACCCATCCGGTTATCCCTGGCGTCCGCCTGATTGATTTTGTCAATGACAAGTTTCGCATCTCCTTCAAATCTCACTTCCGTAAACCCACGCCCTATGCATCCCAGAATCGCCTCTCTCAGGGCCAACAACTCCACCACCGCAGGATCCTGCACTCCTGGGAATCGGGTCCCTTGAGCAAAGACAACTTCCCTAGCCGAGTTCAAAAATACAAACCCACCAGCCGAATGCACCCCCCGACTAGTAGCCCCATCCCACTGGTTTATTGGTACATATAACATATGCATTGGCGGAGCGAGGTAGGTGTGGGGGTAGGATTTGAAACTATACATTTTCTCTTTTATAATATAAATATTATAAATATTTAATGAATAATTTTTAAATAAATATAATTAAAATTAATTATATCCAAATAATTTATTCATAAATAAATAAAAATAACCAATTGATACAATCATTGTTTTCATAAACAACCACGTCGAGATTTCATATTAGGAAAGAAATGCAAGAACATTCGTTGTCTATACTCTTAAGTTTGTTTCTTTCAATTTATCCCACTAAAAAATCATTAGCAAATTGGTTGCCAATTCGACTTCGAAACTTGTTCTTAATATAACCCAAAAGTGAAAATATTCTCTTTCTACACATGCAGTTGCAAATGGTAGAATCAAAACTAGTGGAATTACCGTTGTTACTGGACAGTTTCAAGGTTGTTGGGAAAAATATCAAATAGGCATAAGGAGAAAAGAGATCCGATTAGACCTTTATTGCAATTGATATTTAATTAATTGATTTTATGTCAATTTATGAACAAGTAATCAGTTGGGTTGCAGACGATACTCTTATATTCTGTGACGCATCCCCCGAGCAAGTCTTGGATATCTCAGCTACCTTAGTTTGTTTTCAAGCTATCACCGGGCTTAGGATCAATCTTGACAAGTCCACTATGTACCTGGTGGGGGACGTTGCCGAGCCTAGCTTCTTTGCTGATATCTTTGGTTGTAGGTGGAGTAAAGATCCTTCCATCTATCTTGGTTTCCCTCTTGGAGCCAAGCCTAACGCGGTCGCCATTTGGGATTCTATCATATCCAAGTATCAGAAGAGGTTGGAGGGGTGGCGGGGTCGTCATTTATCCTTTGGGGCTCGGGTCACTCTGATTAACTCGGTGCTCTCGAGTCAGCCGGTTCACCTCTTCTCTCTGTTTAAGGCTCCTAAGTTGATCATCAATATTTTGGAGAGAACGCAGAGACGCTTCCTCTGGAGTGGCTCGGGCGAGGCTTCCAAAATGCCCCTTGTTAGCTGGGACGTCTGCAAGGCTGCGAAGAAGAATGGCGGGTTAGGCATAATTGATTTATCTTCTTTTAACAGCGCCCTTCTGGTTAAGTGGCTTTGGAGATTCGGGACGGATAGACATGGGTGGTGGCGAGTCCTCATTTCGCATAAGTACCCTTTTCCAGCGTCGTCTTGGCAAACAGGCTGCATTAGAAGAGGGAGTGGTAGATCGGTTTGGGTTAATATTTCTAAGGAGTATAATATTTTCTGGAAGGTTGCCTGTCTTGATCCAGGAGGTGGTGCTGATGTCTCTTTCTGGATGGAATGTTGGGTTCCCAGTACTGTGCTCGCCGTTGCGTTCCCGCGTGTTGCTGCCGCCGCTTCCCGGCCTTGGGCTCCGGTCTCCAGCATGCTGACTCGCTCAGGTGAGAGGGTGGGGTGGGATCTTGATCTTAATGTTGTTTTGCGAGGGGGGGGCTGAGAGAGATAGAGTCGAGCTTTTGAATCTTCTTAATTCCTCCTGTACTGACCGAGTGACCAGCGGGCCTTGTAGGCTCGTGTGGCTGCTCAACCCAGACTCCTCTTTTTCAGTTCATGCCATGTACAGGTTTCTTGCCGATGCTCTCTTTCCGGGTCGGCCGAACTTCCCTGTCCAGTCGGTGTGGAAGTCAATCATTCCTACCAAGATTTGCTTTTTCTTGTGGACGGCCTGGCACAAGAGGATCCTCACTCATGATGTGCTGAAGAGGCGTGGGATGTCGATTGCTAGCCGGTGTGAACTGTGCAAATGCTGCGAAGAGTCTGCTGATCACATTTTTGTGGATTGTAGCTTTACCCAGGATCTGTGGCGGGTGATCCAGAGCGCCAGTGGTGTGGACAGAGCACCGGATGGTAACATCAGCGAGTCTATTCATAGCTGGCCTTCTGACCCTCCCGATGAGGTTGGAAGTTGGTTCGCGTTCTGTCTCCTTCATGCTGCGTGCTGGCACGTGTGGCTGGAAAGGAATGGTCGGATTTTCGAAGGCCGGGCTCTTCCTGTTGGGGTGCTAGCTCGCAAGGTCTGCAGGGTGGTGGTTGAATGGTGCGTGGCTCACGGTAAAGTCGAGAAGCAGGCTGGTGGAGCTTGGCTTCAGCTTTGCCTCTCCAGGATTTGACTTGCTGCGGTTGCCTCGGGTTCCCTTTCTCGTTGCTTCCAGTCTTGGCCCGGGCTCCTCCCTTGCCGGGGGTGGTGTTGGCTTTGGTTCTCGTCTGTGTCTTTGTCTCTGCTTGCTTTTCGTCCTGGCGCGCGAGCTCTTATCCGCGTCCTTTCTTTCCATTTTTTCTGTGGTGAAGGCGCCTCTCTCGGCTTTGCCTTCTGCCCCTCTTTGCTTTTTGTCTTCTCTGTAGGTCAGCTACTCCTTGTGGCTTCCCTGTACTTGATACTTTTTTTCTCTTCTCCTTTGATTTAATGCATTTCACCCTTATCAAAAAAAAATTTACCCCTGCCCCTTACAAGGTCCAATAGGACTACCCCTGCCTATGTTGGTAAAAGTGGTGGGGGATACATGTTAGGGTTGCTAATATTCAATATGTTAGTATGATGCTAATACTAATTTCGTTCAATATGAACAGTTTGTTTTGATAATTCTTTTATTTTGAAGGGGTTGATCACACCAGAAACCTCTCAAAGTAATAAAAAATTTAAATGGTGAAATAAATTTGTTATAATGGTAAAATAATTTTTGCTATAAGTAACATGTTGATCTTTAATAAACAAGGAGAAGTGAAGGTGAGGGTGGAGGGCGGAAGATGGAAGTCGGGTAAAATAGGAGGATGATTCATGATCGGGGTGAGTAACTACTATGTACCGTAGACCATAGTTACCATAATACCCTTGATAAATATGCAGTAAGGGTGTTAGCACTCTATATAATCGCTCTCTTTTGATGGGGTAAGTGCTATAGCTCCTTGATTCTAAAAATTACTTTATATGAATAATTGGTAAGACTTTATTCTCTCTATTTATTTCAATTCAAATTCTTTATATGTAAATTGTTCAACTCATTTGAATTTTTTCCTCGGGCAATGATATAACACATGCATGTATATTGCAAAGATATATAGGAGGGTATATGCTTCTTTAATTTCTAGAAGAGTAGCAAGAGGGCCGTTATAGCAGGCCATCAATTTCTTCCCACTCTATAGTAACTAGGGCTGGCTATTTGGTCCTGACTGTTTGGGTTTACCCAAAATTGGACTGTATAATCCGGATCAGGACCGGACTGGGACCGGATAACAAACAATCCAATCTCATATTCGAGCTTAGATTTGAGGTAAAAAAAACTCGGATAAAGACCGGATAAGAGACCTCCAACACCTAAAATCAAGATCAAATTGGGACCGGACCGGGTCAAGACCGAACTGTATCCAATCCAATCTTTGGTCCTTATATTCCCGAAAAGACCGGACTGAGACCGAATCAATTTGGTCCAATTTAACCGGACCGGACCGTATAGCCACCCCTAATAGTAACACCTCACACTCACAGCTATCAAATATAACTTTCTGAAATTACGCGCGCTGTCTAAACATGATTCGCATTCGGAGTCTTTTATTGAATGTTTTCGTTATTTTACGATAATGTTTTCAGGTCAGTGTTCGTGACGCAGTTGGTGGAGTTTCACTATTCAAGTGTTGGACTTGGTTGGTACTTGGTAGTGAGAGACATGCATGCAAGTTGTAGTCGTACGGATAGACTTACTGTCGATCGTGCGACCGAAATGAAAATAATTATATGGGTTGATGTGCACAACCGCGGATGCAGGACATATTAGAGTATCGGGTCGTATTTAAATAAAAAATTAAATATCAACTAGTATTGGACCGAAAGAGGCCGGAGAAGGTTGTGTTAGAGAGTGATATAAGATCCATAATAATTTTTTTCCCCCAACCATTTGTTTATGACATGGTATCAAAGCTGGTTTAACCTAGTGGTCGATTGTTCGAATCTTCACGACCTCCAATATTAACAGTTGATTAAAATACAAGATATGGTGATCGCCTGTGCAAACTTCAAGCTCATGGATTGGCTTTCGTTTGAGAGGGCTTGTTAGAGAGTGGCATGAGATTCATGATAACATTTTCCTAACAACTCGAGTTATTGGGACCAACTGGTTTATGACAGACTAGAAGCAAGCAATTCACATTTGCTATACTAGCTCTGGACCAAAAGCGAGCTGACCCATGGCTCGGGGAGCAGGCCCATCCAATGAATCATAGAGGAGGGCATGCTTCCATAGTTGAGATGTGGTCCAATTTTTTAAGTATAATAAAATGGAGGGTGCGCCTATGGTGACATGCATGTCACAGTGACTTGTACTTTTCGGTCGACCTCATTTAGGATTAGATCGACCTCATTTAGGATTAGGTCGACCTAATATGTTGTTTCGACCTAATCCTATATGAGGTCGACCGAAAAGTGCATGTCACCGTAGCAAAGTTATTATTATTATTATTATTTTAATTTGTTGATGTTGTTGTTGTTTTTATTAAGAGATGAGGTAAAAAGCGTCAAGGCGATAAAGGGATCTAATAATCTGAAAGGCTAGTATCTAATTAAATCCCACTGATATCATATTTAATCTGTAAAAAGTGCTGCGAGTACTGTCAAAACCAGGGACAGTGGCGTAGTGCAATAGGTAGTGACTAGGAATAAACCCTATTTTAACAAACATTGTGGTGCAACTTTTATTGTTTGGACGACAGAGTGAATTTCCCACTGAGATAGTTGCAACTTGCATAAAATGAATGGTAATAACCAATGCTTAACAAAGGTTGTGTTAAACAGCTGGTTGGCCATGTAAGTCTACTAACAAACGAGGATAGAATATTTTGTGTTTGTGAAATCTTACCTTAAGAAAAAGCTCATACAAGAAGTTAAACTAGTAAATAGATTTTAGCAGTATAAAATGGTCAAATCATAATTTTATCACAAAACACTCTAATGTTAACTCGAGTTATTGGGAACAATCGATTCTTGATATGGTATCCGGACGACCGGACCTGTGCAAATTTCAAACCTTTACGTATGACTTTCATTTGAGGGGGTTGAGTTAGTAATTGATATATGATCCATAATTGAACCTCTATTAACAATTCGACTTATTAAGATGAACTAGTTTTTGAAAATTCAGCTTCCACGTGCAAAATATCCATGAAACTCAATAAATATAAAAGGGCCGTTCGGAAGTTATAATTTCAAATGGTGTATTGAGCTAATTCATGTATTTGTGAGATTAAGTCATTTTTTTGGCTTATATTGAACTATATTACATGCATTTATTTTTTGGAGGCCCCACCACAATCACTTAAAATTGAGGGATTATCAATCTCTATATTTTGTTGAGATTCTTCACAATCGCTCAAAATTAACTTTTGGAGCTTTGCAACAAAAACACAATCTAAACCTTCAAACAAGATATTTGCGATTCAATACATCAAATAATAATACACTAATTATCTCAATACTTGAATAATTATAACTTCCAAACCGGAAACAACCTCAAAGTATTATGTCCCAATCCAGTCTCGTGACTCAGGGCCCGTTGAAGAACTAACCTGTATTTCCCAGTCCAAGCAAGCTGTGAAAATAGTGATCAATGCCGTCTGCACAAAGGGAGCCAGCTACAATTCCAACCCATAGGCCTTCCCCTTTCAAACGTGCCACAAAGCCCCAAACGCACCCTATTGGAAGCCCAACCAAACAAAATGATCCAAGATTTGTGTAAGCCCCTATGTGCTGCCTTCCATTCCATCTTGGGCCGCGGCAAAGAGAGATTGAGAATTGATTGGAAAATTGATAATACAAGTAAACCACATATAAATAAACGTGGTTCACTGACACGATATGTGTTTGCTTACATTCTACAAGTAGGAGAGAAAATTTTCACTATACCCAAGGAGATACATATATATACAAGAGATTAAGAAGGTATATATAATATCTTCTCCAAACGACTTACAGACCAGACCCCAAAACAGACAAACAAACGTGTATAATATGATTTCCAAACAATCTGTAGATAGTTATTTTTTTTGGGCAATGTCTATTTTTTTTATCCAAACTCTTTTTCAGATTCTTTTATATCATCCAAACCTATTAAAATTTTATTAATTAGCCAAATCCATCGAAATATTGTTACACAGTTAATAATTTATTCACTGTAACATTGTACAATAGGGCGTTGATGAATTACATCCATACAAAGGTAATTTTATAATAATTTTGGTGGTGATCATGAGGTTGGCGGGTTTGGTAGGTAGGTAGGGCATCATTTTCAGGTGATTCGTTCGAGGAGCCAAGCAGTTGGTTTATTTGGTGGATGCGTTGTTGCTGTGGAAAAGGTCGTTCCGTCTTAAAACTTGAAAGTAGGGAAAGACTTGTGAAACCATGCCTTCCAGCCGGAGGAATAAGTCTTTCGCCGCCGTGCTGCAGCCGCCACCATCTCCGGCCTCCCTTCCGTCATCTGCGGTTGCCGCTGGTTCTTGCACAGCACAAAGTTCCTCCCTCCGCTCCTTCCTATTGCTTCCCCGAGCTCCAGCGCTGCCATTTAATCATATATATATATGGGAATAAATGATAAATAAATACACAGGGGGAGTTATAAAAAAAATATATGATGAGCTTTACTAAGTCAACTCTGTCATATTGTGTCCTTTTGATTATGTCAATTCAAAACTTATTTGGACCAGACTTATGAGAACGCCGGTACAATACTGAAAGACATCTTAGAATCATGACCATATCAATATTGCACTCGGTTAGATCCAAATGTCAATTCATATAAAATTTTCTTCCCGTATTTGTAAAATTTATTGGACCCGGAACCTGACCACGTTATATTCGATTTTGTATTGGTCCGATCCAAGCATTGGTTTGGTCAGACTCAGTTTGATACAGAGACCAAATCGTTGCACACTCCTAGTTTCATAGTTAAAATGCTTACTTATAACGAATTCGAAGCTGACACCTCCTGATCGATTGAAAACCAATAGTAGAGCAACCAGACGAAACCGTCGTTCGCAACTATATATAATAATAATAATAATGATGTAATTACACTGCATAATATCTATTTGAGTATAAAGTAAAATTATCACCGAGTAGTATTTAGTAAGATACTGATAGCAAATACAGAGCATATAGTACCATGTCGCAAACTGCGTTATTCATGAAATTAATGGTTTCTTGGAAGCTTATAACGAATATATATATATATGATGCAATTGAATTACCTTGGGAGTCAGAGCCCTGATCGCCGGCCGAATAGAGAACGAAGTCAGTAACGTCGGAGCCAAGTCCCGGCAGCCTGCCTTCTTTAGCGTAGGCCCTGAGAGTGGACTCGATGACGGCGGCGACGGCGTCGTCCTCCTTCACCACCAACCTTATCGGCCCCGTGCTCCCCAGCACGTTCACTATCACCAGAAACTTGTTGTTCTTGCTGCTTTTCTTCTTCTCCTTCTTCTTCTCATTTCCGCCGCCAACTACTCCACCCTTCACCGTCATTATATATCTAGTAATAATATCGCCGGCGACGACTATGTGGGAGTCGAGGAGGGTCGAGGCCCGGGCAGCCGCAGTACCAAGCTTGTTTGCTGCAGCAGGCGATCGGCGAGGGATTGAGGTGTAGAAAAGAAGGGACGGTGAGGAGAAAGTGCAGAGGTGGAGTGGTTTCAACCATTAATCGGAGGCGAATTTGCTAGCTGTTGTTATATTAAAGGGATCGGGTCGATATTGGGTATCGATGCTCAGAGGAGAAATTTAATGGAATTGGAGTGGCCGGAGGGGAGAGATCAAAGTACGGCTGTCTATCTATATATATACAGACACCAACGTTTGGTAGTGAAGGGTTCGTGTAACAGCGGGGAAAGGTACCCTACAGAAAAGAAAAAAAGAATGGTGATGGTTGGATTGCTCATGTGAACTCATCAAAATAGATCATTCAGATCATTTAAAAATAAAAGGTGAGCCTATGGTGACATGCATGTCAGCGTAACTTGCACTTTTTCGGTCGTTCTTTATTGGGATTAGGTCGACCTAATATAATATGTTGTTTCAGTGTAAAGACAGTTTCATGGTGTCTAGTTTGGAGATTCATATCTTACAATTGGCTTTCGATGGAAATTGGAGATTAATGACTTGTTTTTGAAGCTGGAGTGTTCCCTCTACACATTGAAGTGCTTGGGAGCTCGATAGGAAGTCCAGAAGATCATTTTTTTGAACCTGATCAAAAAGGCTATGCCAAAACTGAAAATGGCAAAGTCTGGGAAAGTGTTTGTGAAAGCCTACTTTGGAGCTCGATTCGAGAAGCATGGATGAGATTCGAGTCCAGGGGCCTCGCTATCACATGAAAGTAGGTATATTTGTCTACAAAGTTAAGGCATTGGATGAAATATTGGATATCTGGAAGGCTTCAAACAAAAGACTCGAATTTGCTACAAAATAAAATGTCTTCTAGTACAAATCTGAAACGGCAAATTAGGTCGACCTAAAAATATGCAAGTTATAAAATATACTATCTATTTATTTTATCGATCATTAATATTCGGTTTGAATTTATACCGCTTAAGTTAATTTTATTCTACGAAGAAGACACCTCATCATCATATTCTACTACTATTTAGGTTGCATCCCATCAGTCCCACAATATAGTTTCGAACTTGTGCTATCATGCTATCGCCCAGACGCCCACCACCTGGCCACCCTCTATTTTTCTACTAATTCTCTGTATTATATATGTCAGGTGAGACTCTATTTTTTTGTTTTACTTTCTTAAAAGGCGAATAATATTATAAGTAGAAAGAACTATATACAGAGGACTTTGACAAGATCAGAAAAACTATACGCAGAAAATTATACACAAAGTTTTACAGCTGCGAGTATCCTTGTTTAGGGTCGGAATAAAAGGATTTGTATTTGTAAGAAGAAAAAAAAACATGTAAACATGTGTTGCTAATACCGTTATTGCTAATTCTCTTTACATATAGATGTTAACAACAAATACCGTGTGTTGTTAATTAGGAAATTTGCGGCAAATATATGCAAATGACTAATTATATTGAGTTTGCAAGATGAGGTACGAAACTCGCTTAAAGTGAGGGTTTTAATGATTACTCCGCCCCCTGCTAGTACGCTCCTCCTAGAGACCCATTGTCACCTCGGTCAAAGCTCACGTACTAAGAAATAGTTCCTAGTTCCTCTCGATAGGTTCAACTTATCATAAATATGTTTGTAAATTTACTTTTGCATGACTATTTTATTGACTTTTTTCCATTTTAGTGCGACATTAGTATATGTTACTAATATACTTTTTATATATATAATATATATTTGGTGGCACATATATTTGCTTGCATAATAGGTCTTTGGCTATAATTATATATTCCTTTAAATAAATAATAATTTTTTGTTAAATTAAATAATCTTTACATGGTAATTACGAAGGATTTTTTAATAGGCAAGGTTTGAACCTGATTCGACGATCTCATGACAAGATTTTTTGTCTAAAATGTTAGATTGAAAATAGTAGAATTAATTCATAAAAAAACAGTAGAATTAACATTTGTATATTATTATCTTTAAGAGGTACATGAAATTACAAAAGACGTCGCGTGTCTAAGGTAGGATAAATCATTCACATTTTGGTGAGATTTAATATCTATAATTCATTTAATGTATAATTCATACATTTTCTATGTTTTTCAAACCATGGATCATTAAAACTAACACATTCTTACTATACACATAATCTTAACACATATCATTTTCGAAATCAAAGGTTGCAAATGACCCTGTTATAAACGCGCTGCTACGGATCGGGAAATCGCCGGAATCGACAAAGCAAGAATACGAAAGTGAGAATCGAAAACACGACACACGATTTACGTGGTTCACTAACACGATGTGTGTTAGCTACGTCCACGGGCGAGAGAGAGCCGATTTCACTATATCAAGGAGATTACAGATTACAGAGGAGTATGAGAAGTATTTATAATACTTCTCCATGTGGGTCTAAACCTAATCCAATCTGACAAAAGAAACGGTTACAGACCAGGCCCAGAACCCGAACCCAAATAACATTGAGCCCATACACCGTGGCTGATAGTCCGATTCAAGTCATATCAACAGACCCCAATATCTGAAATCACAAATCGATCGATTTAATTCAAAAATTCCCATTGTTTCTTTAGTTATATGCATGAAGGGGAACCGTTGGATATAGATGTAGAGAATTATACAGGCTTACTTTCCTATGAAACAATATATTAGTGTAAAAGGGTTAATCATTGCTTATGAAGGTAAACTTACGATTTAGATGTATAGATTTCAATAGATGTCTTACTTTCTTGACAAACAAATATATTAATACAAAGAGTACGTGGGGTGTGAATAATTGAAGTATTTAAGGTTTCTGGGTGAAGTAGCTGTTGAGGATTGTGGTTTTGTGAATCTGAAAGGATCTTATTGTTGTATTCTCATTGATGATTTACAGAGATTAATATACAGTTTTGGGGAGACAAAATAGGTACACGATCAACAACCCCAACACATCTCCCACGAGTATAGCAACAGAGACGTGGGGAAGAATAAAAAATAAAATAAAAGATCAACTATCTCTAATACGCCCCCGCAAGACGGACGTTGTGTCAACAACGCCGAGCTTGGATCGTAGAAGAAGAAAGCGGGCTGCCGGCAGGGGTTTGGTGAGTACATCGGCAAGTTGATTGGCAGTTGGTATATGACGAACAACAAGACGATGATCCTGAACAAGTTGGCGCACAAAATGATAGTCCAATGCCAAATGCTTCATGCGAGAGTGAAATATAGGATTGGCACAAAAATATGTAGCGCCGAGATTGTCCGAGTAGAGAGTAGGAGGGGCCGGCAGAGGATGATGCAGCTCTGTGAGTAAATTCTGGAGCCAAGTGAGCTCGGCACTGGCATGGGCGATAGCCCTGTATTCGGCCTCGGTGCTGGATCGGGCCACAGTTCGTTGCTTTTGAGACCGCCAGGAGATAAGATTGGGACCAAGATAAATAAGATAGGCCGAGGTGGAAGAACGATCATCCAAGTTACCAGCCCAGTCGGAGTCGGCAAAAGCGGAGAGAGTCAACGGCTGAGATGAGCGATGAATGACAAGGCCATGAGTGATAGTACCCGCAATGTAGCGAAGCAAGCGCTTCACACTCTGCCAATGTGTAACGGTCGGAGAATGCATGAACTGCGACAGCCGGTTGACAGAGAAGGCAATGTCAGGCCGAGTGTAGACCAAGTACTGGAGAGCGCCAATAACCTGTCGAAATCGAGTAGAGTCCGTGGGCGCACTCCCATCATGAAGTGTGAGAGAGACGCTAGAGGCCATAGGCGTCGGGGTAGGAGCCGCGCCAAGCATATCAAAACGGCGAAGGAGATCCTGCATATATTTATGCTGAGAGAGGAGAAAACCAGACGCAGTAGGGATGACCTCTATCCCAAGGAAGTAATTCACATCACCCAAAGTCTTCAAAGAGAATCGCTTGGCTAAAGCCTCACGAAAAATGGTGAGCAGCCGGTCATCATTACCAGTGAGCAAAAGGTCATCAACATAGATAAGAAAGTAGAGGAGGATGCCATCCCGATTGTAGACAAACAACGAAGAATCAGAAACAGTCTTGGTGAAGCCAAACTCAAGGAGAAAGGAACTGAGAGCCGTATACCACGCACGAGGAGCCTGACGGAGGCCATAAATCGCGCGCTTGAGCCGGCAGACATGGGTTGGACGAGTGGGATCGACAAAGCCAGGAGGCTGCTGCATATATACCTCATCTTCAAGAGGACCTTGGAGGAAAGCATTATTCACATCAAAATGAGCAATAGACCAGTTATGTGACAAGGCGAGAGTGAATACCGTGCGGACTGTCACCGGTTTGACAACCGGACTAAAAGTATCACCAAAATCCACACCCGGACGTTGATGGAAGCCTTTGGCGACGAGGCGGGTTTTAAACCGAGCAATAGCACCAGTGGGAGTATGCTTAACCCGAAAGATCCAACGATTGCCCAACACGTTATAATGAGGGAGACGGGGAACTAAATCCCAGGTCTCGTTGTCATGGAGCGCCTTGTTCTCGGCATGGAGAGCATCTGACCATTCTGGGAACTGGAGAGCTTCGTGGACAGAAGCTGGCTCAAGGGGCGGTAATAATGATGAAGAGGAGGCCCCAGCAGTGACATTAAAGAGCCGCTTGGGCTTGAAGATACCATGCTGGGCCCTAGTGGTCATGTTATGGGACCGGGCCAGAGGAGGCGGCTGGGCGGGCTGCGAAGTAGACGGCCCAGGCAATGGGGTGACGGGGTCGGGCGACGGCCCAGCATCCGAGGAAGGCCCACTCGCTGTGGAGGAGGAGGCTGCGTCGGTTGGCGCTGAAGAAGAGGGGGAAACGGGCCCTGATGGGCCTGGACTGAGCAGAGGTGAAGTGGGCCGAGCTGCAGGAAGAAAAGAGATGGATGGGGAGGCGTCGTGCAGCCACGCAGCGGGAGAGGGAATGGCTGGCGCTGAAGGAGCCGAATATCCTGGAAAAGAATCCTCCACAAAATGCACATGTCTAGAGAGAAAGAGACGATTAGTGGAGGAGTCAAAGCATTTATAGGCACTCCGTTGCGGACAATAACCAAGAAAAATACAAGGACGAGAGCGAGGGGTGAGTTTATTAATGGCATATGGACGTAGCCAGGGATAGCATAAGCAGCCAAAAATGCGGAGTTTATGATAATTAGGGGTCTGATTAAACAAGAGAGTATATGGAACTTGACCTCGTAGAGCAGAAGAGGGCAGACGATTAATAAGATAAGTCGCTGTAGAGAAGGCATAGGACCAAAAACTGGAGGGAAGATGAGCATGATGAAGAAGTGTTATACCAGTCTCGACGAGATGTCGATGTTTGCGCTCGGCGAGCCCATTATGCTCCGGAGTGTGAGGAGGAGTAAGCAAATGACTAATCCCATGAGTAGAAAGAGTGGGACAAAGTTTGATGAACTCACCACCACCATCAGTGTAAATGCGACGAATGGTAGTGGCGAAAAAATTTTCAACCATGGCACGAAAATCAAGAAAGACCTGTAGCACATCAGATTTTCGACGAAGCGGATAGTACCATGTGTAACGAGTGAAATGATCGACAATGATTAAATAATATAAAAAACCATCAATCGAAGAAACAGGAGCAGGGCCCCAAACATCAGTATATAAAAGATCAAAAGGCCGAGTACTGGTAAGAGAGGAAACACCAAAGGGAAGTTTATGCGACTTATTAGAGAGACATGCATCACAATGACTAAAAGCAGCTGCGGAGACTGGAAGGGAATGATCACGAAGCAGGCTACGAAGAGAATGAGCAGATGGATGGCCGAGACGAGAATGCCAGGAATGGGTGGAAGTGCGGGTGGTGACGAGAGCCATACGAACTGGGTCGGATTGCGGAGGAAGCTCATACACATCACCTCTGTTTTCCCCTCTCAGCATCAGCGCCCCCGTGCGTAGATCCTTCACAACAAAATGAGTGGCAAAAAATTCCACAGACACTGGGTTAGTGCGACACAATTGAGCCACGGAAATCAAATGTTTCTTGATAGCAGGGACATGCAATACATCATTCAATGAAAGAGAATGAGAGTCTGTAGTGAGATGAGAAGAGCCAATGTGGCTTATCCGCAAACCTGAGCCATTGCCAACAATTAGTTCATCAGGACCGGTGTAGTCGGAATAAAGAGAGAGATTGCCAAGATCCCCAGTAACATGGTGCGAAGCAGCGGAGTCCATAAGCCATTGAGTGGAAGAAGATGGATTGCCAACAGCAGGCAGCAGAGATGGGGCGGCATTGGTGAAATGGGCCTGGGCTGGCGCTGGCCTGTTGGTAGGGTGGGCCGACCTGTTTGGAGGAAATAGTTGGAAGCACTGGCGCACACTGTGCCCAGGCTTCTCACAGAATTGACATATGAGTCTGGCCCGACGGGTATTGGGCCCAGAAGCCTCGCGCGGAGAAGACGGGCCGGAGAAGTGGGACGGGCCGGGCGGACGAGGCAGCAGGCCTTGGGAGTGTCGCGGAGCAGCAGCGTTGACATAGGGCTGCGGAACGCTGCGCTGGGAGCGGAATTGAGGCGAGCCGCCGTGCCTCTGCCCCTGAATGTAGAACGCCGTCGGGACAGAGGTGGGTCGAGCTTTGAGATCAGCTTCGTACTCAACCAAGGAATCTACCAGATCTTCGAGGGTGATGCCTGGACCACGTGCGCGAACGGCTGCAGAGAAGGATTGATAATCCTCGCCCAAACCTCTAAGACAGTGCACCACCAGATCGATGTCCTTCACTGGTTCTCCGATGAGGGCGAGTTCAGTAGCTGTGGCTTTGAGATCATTGACAAAGGTGAGTATATCGCTATCCCCTTTTGTGGATTTGGCGAGTTTGCTCTTCAAATGAATGATGCGAGACTGAGCATTACTCGCATATAATTTTTCCAGTGTGAGCCAGGCCTCGCGAGCGGTAGAAGCAGCAGAGACGAAGGAATAAATGGATTCGTCAATGGAACAGCGCAGAGCGTGGAGAATTAGCTTGTCTTGCCTGAACCAGTTGTGATACGCCGGATTGGGGGTGGTGACCATATCCACCGTGACAGATTGAGAGGGAGCGACAGTGGTTCCGTCGAGATAGCCGAACAGATCAAGACCCAAAAGAAGGGCTTCCAGTTGGGAACGCCATGAAGCAAAGTTTGTAGGATTCAGCTTTAAGGGAAGCTGTGCAGCAGGATTGAAAGTAACTATCTGGGTTTCCACAATTTTGGATTCTTTGTTTAGATCAGAAAAAGATGAGTCACCAGCCATGATGATGATCACAGGGACGATGAACAGAGAGAGGGATGAGTTTGAAAAATTTGGAACAGAGAAGAATGGCCGAGAGAGAAAGAGAAGAAAAAAAAACGGAGATGAGATAATTATGGATCTAGCTGATCGTTGCTAGCTCTGATACCATGTTGAGGATTGTGGTTTTGTGAATCTGAAAGGATCTTATTGTTGTATTCTCATTGATGATTTACAGAGATTAATATACAGTTTTGGGGAGACAAAATAGGTACACGATCAACAACCCCAACACATCTCCCACGAGTATAGCAACAGAGACGTGGGGAAGAATAAAAAATAAAATAAAAGATCAACTATCTCTAATTGTAGCTACGTAATGCAGCTTTGCTCCAGTTTAGCTCTCGTGTGCTCTGTTCTTTCACAAAGTCAGCTCTTCAGTATTAGAGATGAACCAAATCGCATATATATATACATAGAAATGTAGGTAGAGTTCGCAAATGATTTGGATCTATGAATTGTTCAATTGAATTGATGGATTTATCAGATTATATGGATTGGATTGTTGGATCCATAGATTATATAGATCATATGGATTAGTGAGACTATGTATTGGATAAAATGAATTGGTGAATTGGATCATAGATCTATCCAAGTGACATATAAATATTGGACTAATTTGTAGAATTTAAAAAAGTAGGTACTAAAATGTAATTTTCAATGATAATTTATGTTTAAAAAATAAATTTTAGGTACCGAATTGTAAAATATATATGTACTAAAATATAATCTGCCAACAATCCATGAATCTACAATCCAATTGGATTTGAATCAAATGAATTGGATTAGTTGGATATCTAAGTGGATGGATTGGATTGGTGGATTGAATTGAAAATTGCCACCTCTACATGTAACTTGATGAGCAAAGAAACTTGTATTCGGCCCAGCCTGTGGCATAATCAATAGTGACCCAATCAACCCGCAACCTGATTGTTTCGTACCATACCTCAATTGTCTAGTAATGCAATGAACACTTCACGGAATAAGAACACACGAACCTGCCACTTCGAACACTCGAGGAATTCTGACAATTGAGAGTATCAAGAGAATCGTGGGACCAAACAGTGCATTCGGTCTCGCTTTGATTCGGTTTGGTCCAACCCAGATGTCAATTCGATCCATTTATTTTCCGTATTTATAAAATTTATAGGATCAAGTATCAGACCATATTATATTTAATTCGAAATGGTACGATTCATACGTCAATTTAGTCCGGTACAGACCAACTCATTGCACACCCTCGCTCATTTGCTTGCAGCTACAAGTCTACAACACCACTGTGGTTCCCGCGGGCCATGTAAATCGAATGGGCTACTAACTCTATCAATTTCGTTGGGTTTTGGGCCCAAGGTCACTAATTTGATCATTTGTGAGATGGCCAAAAGGAAACAGCCCAACATTTTGCTTCGAACATGAGAAGAAGAAGAAGAAAAAAAGAGAAGGTTCGAGGCTCGACCGTCCAAGAAAATAAACAATTTATTCATTTATTTTTCGGTCTCCTATTTTTTGTAAATAAAATACAACTTAACGATCATCAGTCATCACTTTCACCAGCCACGCCGCGTATAATAAAAAACCTCAGTGATCCTCCTTCCAGAAGAAAACCTGCTTACTTTCCCCTTTACTCCCAACAACTGCCCTCCAGTTCCCAACTCCTCTCTCAACAAATCAATTCCGCCATTTTTTTCTTCTTTTCGATTTGCTCTCTGTCTCCTTCCCAACCCATCCGGCTAATCGATTCAATCAACCTTCTAAATACCGGCAACAGTCGGTCGCGTCCTGCTGCAAAAGAATGGAGAACATGATGGGGCTTCTCAGAATCAAGGTGCTCCGAGGGATCAACCTCGCCATTAGAGATGTCCGCAGCAGCGACCCTTACGTCATCGTCAAGATGGGCAAGCAGGTAACTTTCCCCTCAACTTCCCCCCCGTGCCCTCAATTTTCCCTCTCTGTAATTGAATTTGGCGTTGTGGGTTGTCTAAAAGGTTGTAACTTTGATCGGCGACAGGCTTCTAAACCCAGCTGCCATGTCTTAGCCGGAAACCTGTAGACGACGAAAGCTTGTGTCTTTGTTGTTTCGCTTTTTCTCATTGCAACGGCATAGTGGCAAATGAGCCGGCCGTTGGCGGATATCCCAATTTAGGGTATAGATTGATTGTGCTATGTGCTTCCTAAACGGTATTGACCGGATCAATTGTAGAAACTAAATTGCACATCTCTCACATTCTGCCAGACAGACGCTCCACCACTAGAATTGGTAAATTGATCATATCGTACAAGTTAAAACAACACAAATCAACAAACATAATGGACGAAAAAAGTAGGGACAAATACAACATACATAAACTCTGTGCCTGCTCTGCTGCGCTTAATGTTACTGATTGGAATTGCAGAAACTGAAGACCCGAGTGGTGAGGAAGAATGTGAACCCAGAGTGGAACGAGACCTTGACATTGTCTGTCAGCGACCCGGGTCTTCCTGTCAAGATCGTGAGTGATACTATGCTCAATTCATTCGGTCGATTCGTTAATGGTAAGTAGAACTGATGATGGACTAAATTGTTGGCAGGAAGTGTTCGATCGAGACCTGTTCAGGGACGACAGGATGGGGGATGCAGAGTTCGACATTGGGACCTTCGTGGAAGCCGTGAGGATGAACCTCCAAGGGCTGCCCAGCGGGACCATCATCACCAAGATGCAGCCCAGCAGGAAGAACTGCCTGTCAGAGGAGAGCTCGGTCGTGTGGGCGAACGACGAGGTTGTGCAGCGCGTCTTCCTGAGGCTGCGAAATGTGGAGTGCGGTGAGGTCGAACTCGAGCTTCGTTGGATTCATGTCCCTGGTGCCAAGGGCTTGTAGTATAGAGGAATTGACTGTAAGTGAGCTGTTGTTTGTAGCTGATATATGATGTATTGCTGATTTTTTTCCGGGTTTTTGCTTCTCCCCATTAGTTCTAGCACCCTAATTATCAATATCTACACCTTAATTGATTCTTCTCCTGCTGCTAATTACAGTTGTTTGAGTTTGTACATGATTCTGTCTGAGTTGTCTTTCACCTGACAGAGGACTCTTTTCTTTAGCATATATATATGTTGCCATGAATAAGTGTCTCGTAATCTTCTCCATCCTACTACCAAAAATGTTACTTAACCATAGGAATTACCGAATTAGCTTATTGACATTGGACTCATTCTAATACCAGTACCAAAAAAAAAAATCTTATGGTTTGATGCAGATTTGAGTTCCTTGCCGCAATGGTAGATTGAAAGTGAAAAATGACAACGAACACAACCAGTTGGGCTTGGGCCGAATCTCATACGTAAAATTATAAGGGGCTTGATTATTGAGCCCATTAATTTGGGGTCGAGATCATCCACCGGATCAGTGGGTTTTCATTTTGCTGACCGAGGTTATGGGAAGCGGGTGAATGAAGTAAAATTCTCCGTTATGAAGGCAGAGTTTGGACAAATGGGCTTCTCACCGAGTTGGGAATAGGGATGGAAGTTTGGTACTAGTATTTGAGATATATCGAATATCGTATTGAATTTGTCGATATTTGGTATTATTGAATGCACGTATTATTTTATGGGATTGAGATTGAGTTCAATTGTTATTTGGTATTAGAGATTACATGATTGGGATCAATATATATACGGAAATACTGATCAATATAGAAATCTAAGATAGTGTGTACCCAATTCCTCCCAACTATTCCCCCAGTCACTAATATCATACCCTCAATCTCCAAAATGGTCAATTAGTTATATATAGTTCATCCTCTCGCTATTTGACAACTCATACATAGCTCATTTTGTTACTTGTAATATGTTTTTAGGTTGTTTAATCGTCCACGGTATTAATTTGTTGCTTTAGCTTGTTAATGTGCTTCTTAGAGCACCACATTTTCTAGTTTGTTGTTAATATACTTGTAGTTTTCCCCATTTGTTCTGCAAGAGGGGTTGGATTTATTGTTTGTTTTTATTTATTTTGCAAATGGTTTGTGGAGGTGCTCACAAAGGAGAAGTATTTGCATTTGTATATTTGATTTGTAATTTTTGAACATAACTAATTTAAAATTTAGTTTATACCGATACCGAACAAATTTTCTGGGATTTGGATCGGGATATCGAATTTATTTTGGGATTGAGATTGTGATTAAGTTTGGGACACTATTTGGTAATTATACTAGGATACTGATACTGTACTGATTTCCCACCCTAATTGGCGAGACGCTCAAGAGACTTAGCCATTTTGGGAGTTGGGCACTAGCCAATGAAAAACAAAAGGGATGAGGCATTAGCAAATATTATCCCCAATCTTGCAACTTTCAATCTTTATCCTCCATTTTTCATATACACAATACTTGCTCTTCTATATTTTGTCTTCATAAATCAAATACTTTTCAATTATTTCAAAACAATACTTTCAATTATTTTTCATTAATACTTTTCAATTAATTTTACTAAAATATTCGTGACTATTTTGGAAACGGGTTTCAAATATAGATTATGTTTGCTTGTAAAATGATTATACATTTGAACCATCATTTATATGTGTCTAATATCCATATAATAGGATACATGTTAGTTGATAAATGAATTTTGTTTTCATGGTTGGCGTTATTTGGATATAAAACAAGAAAAATAGAACATATTATATGAAAAAATTGTAACATCATACAAAAAAAATTCATGGTTGGCGTTATTTTTCACATACTACCATCTATATTTCGTTTTCCAAATTTTAGAGGTGTACCGGACGCACCTACCTGACCTTTGGGTCCGCCACTGCTGCTAGGGTTTCTTGCTTTTCTGCTACTGGTCCCTTAATACCTTTGGTATCTGTTCACTATCAGTAGCTTTTTCTGCATGAGGACAGAATTTCGTCCTATTGTCTTCTTTCCTTTTCTCTGTTAATCAATTAATGTACGAGAGAGTCTTCAGTTTGGATGCTGCTGCCTGGGGCTTTTGCAGCTTCGATCGTGCCCCCTAGCACTTGTAGTAATGGAACTTACTCAATTCCCGATTCCACTTTCCAAAGAGAAATTGCGGTTCATGGTTCTGGCACGTAATATACATTCCAACCACTTCTTTGAGTGGAGAAGGGTTAATTTCTCTTTTTCTACTGAACTCTCTTTGATGGAATTTTGCACTTAGCTTGATGGTGCAAACTTCTCATATGTTATCCATGTCTTCTTACACTGGTCCTTATCAATTTGATATCCACTACCTGTGGAGTATTCCATTGAAAGAAGATATTAGTCTTTTTATAAAACCGTATGGGCGGTTCGACCGAGAAAATCTCTTACGTACTGGAGGCTAAATTGATAGGTGTTTTTAACTATATAAAACGATAGACATATAACGTATTGCATTATGTGCAATGGAAAAGAAGTGAATCTTTTCTCAAAATGCTGAAGTTAATAAAAAAAATTCCATAACGCCACACCTATCATAAAAAATTCCATAAATTTGGGCTAGATCGTTACAATTTTTAGCGATTTAGGAAGCGGATCTCTGATGAAAGCAACAATCAAGGCATAATGCAACGATCTCAAGGAAACAATCTTCATTTGATCTTAATTAAGCACAATGTATAAAGAAAGGAACCGCGACACTGATCAGTCATTTAGGTTACTTTTGGCCGCATGGTGCTTACGTATATTAAATTGTTGTTCTGTAAATTGATTTGTATGGAATCTCTTTTCCCTTGATATGTTTGATGATAGGATTCAGGCAGCAAAATTTTCTGTGTAAATCGTTGGATGCTTCCAATGATTGACAACAAGATTGCACATAATAAATAACCTCCTTCATCTCACATTCTACATTCACTTCTTTTTTCATATCTTTTAGCTAGTTTCTGCACATCAGAATTCAGCAAAACAAAAAGCAAACCGAGCAGTGTGAATGACCCACGCCATGCCACGATCAACCACCACTGTGCCATACAACGCAGGCGACAATTGCTTTCCTATTTAGGGTACAACAAAAGACCCAAAAAAAGAAAAGCCTTGATTGCATGAATTTTTTTTTAATAATTTTTTTTTGTCAAATCTCAGAATCTAAATGACCATCCATATTAATTGTTAATTTAAGTATAAAGTATGGTGGGCATGGACAAATTTTAATGTGTGAGTTGTCTTTCGTTTAAGATGGTATGTAAGCATGATATAAAGATCTAAAAAAACCTTATTCTAGCCATTTGAGTTATTGAAATTAAATAATTTATGATCTTATATAAGAGTTGGGTTGGCAAAGTGGTTGTGTGTTTCAATTTTGATGATCCTAATAATAACAGTTGATTTAAACAAAATATATGGTGAGTCCTTGGAAACTTTAAACATTTGAATTTGCTTTAATTTAAGGAAGAGCGTTGTGTTGATTGTAAATAAGTTCATATCGTTTTTCGACCAACATTTATTCTCGTCCGGTTAAGTACCAATCAGGCGCATGTAAGAGACATAACGTTTGCGTCATTTATAAACATCCGATGTCATAATTAATTACACATAAACGTTAGGGTTGTAGTGTGCATTGAGGGTAAATTAGTTAGCATATTATCCATTGATCCTAACTATTATATATGGTCATTTATTTCATGTTTTTGTAGCCATCATACGACACAATGAGAATATAGTATATTCGCAGGATAGTTTATGTGTATCAAAAGTAAAAATTAAATAATAAAAAATTAAATACAAATTTTTAATTTTAACAAAATATGAGTCAAACCTTTCGAAATACATTATAATAACCAACGTTTAAGTTTTTCTTTAAAATTCATCACGTCCATTAGTTAAGGTCTTGAGGATGAGCCGGCAAATGAATTTTGGGTTTTCAGTTAAACTCCTTCTCCAGACTAAATATTAATCAAATCTTTCGCAATTGAATCCAATAACTTCCTAGAATTTTGTGTTTTCAGTTAAACTCCTTCTCCAGACAAAAACCATAGAAGTATCTTTGTTTCCTGTGCCGTTGTTATTCTTGTCATAAAGTTAAGATCGAACTAAACGTCATAAGTAACGAATAACTGCGATGCTGGGAGCGCGACGCTCGTGTTTGAAGGGAAACGGGGTTGAACGTTGACAAACCGACGTTTGAACTAGATAACACAACAAATTTGACCGGTTTGAACCAACCAACGACAAAGCTATGACAAGATTAAACCAGAACAAACAACCACAAAAAAAATAAAAAGCTGACCATAAAATTAGTTAATAAAGTATATCTACGAAAACAGCAAAATCAAAAGAGAATCTATCCTTGATTCAACAGTATAATTTATAGCTGAAAAGTAAAACTGCCACCCCATTCAAATTTTCCTGTCCATAGAGTGATTTTAGGAAGCTGATGTGGCAGGGTGTTGAGCGGGAAAAAAATAGAAATCCCCGCCAGATTGCAGAACTAAAAATCGTCCACTACCCACCTTTTTCTCCTGGTTTCCCACGTTATCATTTAGTTATCATTTATTTTTCATTTACTTTTCGTTTGGCTGAAATACCACCTTTTCTACTGGGTTCCCACGTTATCCTTTCGCCTACCCGCAGGACAGGAAGAGAATCAGTTTCCATCGGAAAACTCTGGTAAGAGGGCGTCACGGTTTCGTGTTCAGCGGAGGAAGGCGCTGACGGCCGGCTGTTGCTGAGTTCATGGGAAGACGACCAGACGTTTTGGTCGTCAGTGGCGGAAAGCAGTGACGGCCCGCTTCTGCTGCGACTGAGGAGATCGCGTTTGGGAGTGCAGCGAACAATCTCCGTGGTGAAGAGGTTGTCGACGATCGAGGCTTTCCCTTCCGGCGAGAAGCACAACTACTGCCGCCGCCACCACCGTCTCCCCCGCCGCCACGAACCCTGCTTCTTCTTTCTTCTCTGCTTCAGCCTCTAGAAGGTCGCTACAAATCGCTCCAGCTACTCGCATCCGTTGAGGAGCCATCGCCGCTGGGCTCGACGCAGCTGCTGCGGCCACCGCCGCCATCAGCGAAGCGCTCATCATCCCCTTCTTCTCCCACCCGCTGCCGTTGCTTCCGTTTCCTTCCGCCGAGCACTTCACCACTCTCCCTCTCTTCGCCATCGACGGCAGCCCTGCATATCACCCA